GACTCTATCAAGACGATGAATTAATAATTAATAGGTATTTGGAGTTTTACCTTCTCCGGCAACAGAGGAGGAGTGAAGATGATCAAACATTCATGCGTTGAACCTCTTTCGCACCGTACGTAGCCAAGCGTGCTTCTCGGAGGTGCGGATTAAACACCACAATAGACACACACGCCTATTTGTTTATTGCAAGGCATCATCAAGTAGTCCGCGTTAACCACATACCTTGCTTGTGGCAAAGCAGGCAAACAAACTTGTTTTGATGATGGTAATAATAATAATATTAATCGCATCGTCCTTGAAGCTGATTGGTATACATCAGAGCCTCACCTTCGATTAGCACGGCTGACTATGTACGGTGTGAAAGACGTTCAACACACACGTCCATACAACAGCCTCCTCCTGTGTGGCCGTGCCTCTGCACCAGCAGCAGCAGCAGTGTTCGTAGACCAGAGAGCAACGCTAAGAGGCGATCAGCACGCAGGGCAATGGAAATAACAAAGCATCACAATAGATTTCGATTTAAAGCTTTCGTGACTGCAGGGATTCATCTTCTTGGTTCTTTCGGTAAAATCATAATAAAATAATAATAAAAATAAAACATAATAAAATAATTCTCAGTGAGAATTATTTTATTATGTTTTATTTTTTTTATTTAAAACATAATAAAATAATTCTCAGTGAGAATTATTTAATTATGTTTTCTTTTTTTTTCCCTTCTACGTGACTTTACCGAAAGAACCAAGAAGATGCATCACAATAGCTCGCGGGTCTATGGGTTTTCCCCCGTAAGTATTTATTATGGTTAAGGCTGCGCGGTCGTCTTAAATTAAACTAAAACGATTTGTTTTATTTAACCAGGTAAAGCCCACTGAGCTCCATCGCTCGCTTTTTCAGAAGCGACGTGGATATCACAAATGATAGCTCAACGAAGCGGCTTATCCATAATAGAGGTTTTTGGGTGAGATCTCGTAAATATATAAATGCGTCGTTAAAACCCGCCACCACCCGACACGGCCAACTAGGAAGGGTTACATCTTGACTTAAAGCTTTCGTGGCTGCAGGAATTAATATTCTTTGGGTTCAAAGAAAATAACAAAAATTAACAAAAACTAAGCGACACGTCTCAGACCGTGTTCGTGAACACAAGGCAGATCTGAAACACGGCAGGACCAATACCTCGGCCGTGGCTGATCATTGTTTTAATGCACTGTACCCCCCCCCCCAGGGTGGGGGGCACGTGGCACTGTACCCCACCACCCCCCCAGGGTGGGGGGCACGTGGCACTGTACCCCACCACCCCCCCCAGGGTGGGGGGCACGTGGCACTGTACCCCACCACCCCCCCCCCAGGGTGGGGGGCACGTGCCACTGTACCCCACCCCCCCCCCCCCCAGGGTGGGGGGCACGTGGCACTGTACCCCACCCCCCCCCCCAGGGTGGGGGGCACGTGGCACTGTACCCCACCCCCCCCCCCCCAGGGTGGGGGGCACGTGGCACTGTACCCCACCCCCCCCCCAGGGTGGGGGGCACGTGGCACTGTACCCCACCCCCTTCCCCAGGGTGGGGGGCACGTGGCACTGTACCCCACCCCCCCCCCCAGGGTGGGGGGCACGTGGCACTGTACCCCACCCCCCCCCCCCCGGGTGGGGGGCACGTGTCACTGTACCCCACCACCCCCCCCCCCAGGGTGGGGGGCACGTGTCACTGTACCCCACCACCCCCCCCCCAGGGTGGGGGGCACGTGCCACTGTACCCCACCACCCCCCCCACCACCCCCCCCAGGGTGGGGACGCCGCCGAGAGAGAGAGAGGAATGCGATTTGTTTCCGATTCCTCCACTCCCGTGACCTCTCGCGCACAAAGACAAAGCTCCCCCGTGTAGCCTGTGACTGACTGCCGGGGCAAGTGCTGTTAGTGAGTAGCAGCACCGCATGAAGGCTGCCGACACACGAGGGGGTGGGTGCCAGCACCACGCCCGGCCGCCTTTGTCTCCCCAGTGGCGATGTTTAAATACCGCACCAGGTACTCATTTGAGGCTGCGTCGACCTAGGGGAGGCCCAGGACCGGTTCAGATAATCGTCACCGGTGTTGGTCGTGAGCGGGAATCGAACTCGGCTCGCCGGGTTCGTAGCGCTAACCACTATACCACCGCTCCCCACACTCACGCTTACATACACACTCACACACGTTTACACACTCACACATACACACACACACACGCTTACACACACACACACTTACCTACACACACACACGCTTACATACTCACACACGCGTACACACTCACACACGCTTATACACACTCACACATACACACACGCTTACACACTCACACACACTCACACACGCTTACACACACACACGCTTACACACTCACACCCTTACACACACACACGCTTACACACTCACACACACTTACACACGTTTACTCTTACACACGTTTACCCTTACACACTCACACACACTCACACACACTCACACACACTCACACACACTTACACACGTTTACTCTTACACACACTTACACACACCCTTACACACTCACACTCACACACACTCACACACACTTACTCTTACACACACTTACACACACACACACACCCTTACACACTCACACATACACACACGCTTACACACTCACACACACTCACACACGCTTACACACTCACACAGATTCACACACGCGTACACACTCACACACACTCACACACACTCACACGCTTACACACTCACACACACTCACACACGCTTACACACTCACACACACTCACACACGCTTACACACACACACACTCACACACGTTTACACACTCACACACACTCACACACGCTTACACACTCACACACGCTTACACACTCACACACACTCACACACGCTTACACACACACACACTCACACACGTTTACACACTCACACACACTCACACACGCTTACACACTCACACACGCTTACACACACACACACTCACACACGCTTACACACTCACACACACTCACACACGCTTACACACACACACACTCACACACGTTTACACACTCACACACACTCACACACGCTTACACACTCACACACGCTTACACACTCACACACGCTTACACACTCACACACACTCACACACGCTTACACACTCACACACACTCACACACACTTACACACACTTACACACGTTTACCCTTACACACACTTACACACACACTCACACCCTTACACACACACACACGCTTACACACTCACACACACTTACACACACTTACACACGTTTACCCTTACACACACTTACACACACACTCACACCCTTACACACTCACACACACTTACACACACTTACACACGTTTACTCTTACACACACACTCACACACACTTACACACGTTTACCCTTACACACATTCTCAGGTCCATGAATAGTCTGGGCCGCCGGGTTCCCAGGGCCGTGCGCTCACCGCTCCACACCCCCCACCCCCACTCACCCCACTCGCCCCACTCACCCCACTCACACGCAAAGACAAAGGTCCCCCGTGTAGCCTCGGCACACCGTCGGGACGAGTGCTGTTAGCGGCGAGCAACAGCTCCTATGAAGGCCGGCACTGTGGCACACGAGGGGCAGGGGGCCAGCACCACGCCCGGCCGCCTTTGTCTCCCCAGTCATGAGACTGTAGTTACACTCCGCACGAGGTACTACATTTAAGGCTGAGTCGAGCTAGGGGAGGCCCAGGAACCCAGTTCAAACGCTCGCCAATGTTATTATTGATCGTGAGCGGGAATCGAACTCGGGGTTGCTGCGTTCGTGGCGCAGTGCGCTAACCACTGCCAACGCTGCAGGCATGTGCACACACACACACGTACACACACGTACACACGTACACACGCAGTTGAACATGCACACACACGTACACACACACAGTTGAACATGTCCTATACTTTGCAGTCTTCTCGTGGGTTTTGTGTTGTTTGTTGTAAGTTTCTGACCCGCCCCTACTGTGCATCTGTGAAAAAAAGCTTCATCGCTCACCTCCGCCAGTCTAAATATAGATTCTCGTTCCGATTTAGTGGACGGAGAAACATTTGACAGTGGGAGGAGCTACCTGTGCAGTGGGCGGGGCTACCTGGGCAGTGGGCGGGGCTACCTGGGCAGTGGGCGGGGCTACCTGGGCAGTGGGCGGGGCTACCTGGGCAGTGGGCGGGGCTACCTGGGCAGTGGGCGGGGCTACCTGGGCAGTGGGCGGGGCTACCTGGGCAGTGGGCGGGGCTACCTGGACAGTGGGCGGGGCTACCTGGGCAGTGGGCGGGGCTACCTGGGCAGTGGGCGGGGCTACCTGGGCAGTGGGCGGGGCTACCTGGGCAGTGGGCGGGGCTACCTGGGCAGTGGGCGGGGCTACCTGGGCAGTGGGCGGGGCTACCTGGGCAGTGGGCGGGGCTACCTGTGTAGTGGGCGGGGCTACCTGGGCAGTGGGCGGGGCTACCTGTGCAGTGGGTGGGGCTACCTGGGCAGTGGGCGGGGCTACCTGGGCAGTGGGCGGGGCTACCTGGGCAGTGGGCGGGGCTACCTGAGTAGTGGGTGGGGCTACCTGGGCAGTGGGCGGGGCTACCTGGGCAGTGGGCGGAGCTACCTGGGCAGTGGGCGGGGCTACCTGAGTAGTGGGTGGGGCTACCTGGGCAGTGGGCGGGGCTACCTGGGCAGTGGGTGGAGCTACCTGGGCAGTGGGTGGAGCTACCTGGGCAGTGGGCGGGGCTACCTGGGCAGTGGGCGGGGCTACCTGGGCAGTGGGCGGGGCTACCTCGCCACGTGACGCCGCTCCTTGCCGTTGCTAATTGGACATCTGTGTTAAAGAGCTTCATAGCTCCTCGGATTCCTCCATGAAAAATACTGACTCTGATTTTTAATTGAATGCTAATGAAGCTAAACGCCCCCCCCACCTGCCCCCCCACCTGCCCCCCCACCTGCCCCCCCACCTGCCCCCCCACCTGCCCCCCCACCTGCCCCCTCTTCCTCTCAACAGGGGAGAATGGCCGCCGCCGTCGCTCGGGAGCGAGTGAGGAGTTCAACAGCCCCGAGTGCGACTCCATCGCCCCGTCCAGCCAACCACTCACCACGCGGGTGAGCCGCACTCACCACACTCGCCACAGCCACACTCACCACACTCACCACAGCCACCCACTCACCACAGCCACACTCACCACACTCACCACAGCCACACTCACCACACTCACCACACTCACCACAGCCACCCACTCACCACACTCACCACAGCCACACTCACCACACTCACCACAGCCACACTCACCACACTCACCACAGCCACCCACTCACCACACTCACCACAGCCACACTCACCACACTCACCACAGCCACCCACTCACCACACTCACCACAGCCACACTCACCACACTCACCACAGCCACACTCACCACACTCACCACAGCCACACTCACCACACTCACCACAGCCACACTCACCACACTCACCACACTCACCACAGCCACCCACTCACCACACTCACCACAGCCACACTCACCACACTCACCACAGCCACACTCACCACACTCACCACAGCCACCCACTCACCACACTCACCACAGCCACACTCACCACACTCACCACAGCCACCCACTCACCACACTCACCACAGCCACACTCACCACACTCACCACAGCCACACTCACCACACTCACCACAGCCACACTCACCACACTCACCACAGCCACCCACTCACCACACTCACCACAGCCACACTCACCACACTCACCACAGCCACCCACTCACCACACTCACCACAGCCACACTCACCACACTCGCCACAGCCACCCACTCACCACACTCACCACAGCCACACTCACCACACTCACCACAGCCACCCACTCACCACACTCACCACAGCCACCCACTCACCACGCGGGTGAGCCACACTCACCACAGCCACACTCACCACACTCACCACACTCACCACAGCCACCCACTCACCACGCGGGTGAGCCGCACTCACCACACTCACCACAGCCACACTCACCACACTCACCACAGCCACCCACTCACCACACTCACCACAGCCACACTCACCACACTCACCACAGCCACCCACTCACCACGCGGGTGAGCCACTCACCACACTCGCCGCAGCCGCAACGGCAGCCGTCGCCACCACCACCACTGCCCCGCTACCACCGGCACACCCTCGCTGCGGTGCCGAGACGGCCCCTGCGCAGCTGTGCTGTACCGTGCTGTGCCGTGGCGCGCCGAGCTGCCGGTGTCGCGTGTGGCGTACGAGCTGGAACGCATCGGAGGCCTCGTGGCCGCAGGCCGTGTCCAAAGGGAACTGCATCATCATCATCATCATTGGGCCACCATCACCACCATCATAGGGCCACCATCACCACCATCATAGGGCCACCATCATCATTGGGCATCATCATCATCATCGGGCCACATCATCATCATCATAGGGCAGCATCACGGTGGTGGATCACGGGGTAATCGGCGCCGTTAGTGTGAGCACCCAACCAGCCTGCGCGCCATTCACAGCGCTAATCCGGTTTAATGCGCCGGAAAATTGCATATCCAAACAAGAGACTGGAATGGATGCCGATATACATTGCGCCGGTGATGACACAAAGCCCATGGGCCGCACGCAAGTCTAGCGGCCTCCTACCGTTGTTATTGAGCCGATCTGGCCCGTGCCTTCCAATAAACTCCAGTCCTGGTTCCAGTGTCATGACTCTATCCCAAGGGGGGCAGGGCACGAGCTAGCACCTGCGACAGGAGGTCATCGAAGGGCGTCCGACTCATCGGCCTTGCCTCCATCCCTCCGTTGATGTTCGTCTTCGGTGGGGGGCTGCCGTTGTTATAAAGCCGATCTTATAAATCGTATTTTATATTTACTTAGCGCTGTTATCCAAGGTGCTTTGCAAGGGTTATGAGTGGTACAATTAGGGTAGCTAAAAGTGATGCGGTGAATAGTAATGGGGTATGGGGAAGGAAGTTGGTGGGTACAGGAATTACGGGGATACCGAGCGATGGAGGGAAGGAATTGGCAGGGAGGAAAGCGGTGGGTCGATCTGACCCGTGCCGTGCCGATCGCTCCGGCCCAGGTGCCAGCGTCATGCCCCAGTAAGACTCCAATCACGAGTGGTCACTTTCGCCATCAGCTTTGAGACGGCAGGTCGTACAATCCGCCCCGCCTGCATCAGTGTCACACGTATGCACCTACGTATGTACGGTGAACTTCTTTCGCACTGTACATAGCTAACCGTGCGGGTGGAGGGCAAACAAAATGAACACGACAAGGAGGAGTTGTAAAGAAATTAGATTGTCAGTCTAGATGATGTAAAAGTGCTAAGCTCCCAGTAGTTTCCTAATATCGGAAGGAAGAACGTTCCAGACGGCCGCACGTCTGAGCGTCATGCGATGCGGGGACAGTCTTTGTTCGATGGTTACCCACTCACGCACTCACCCACTCATCCACTCGCCCACTCACGCACTAATCTACTCGCCCACTCACCCACTCACTGACCCACCCACTCACTGACCCACCCACTCACTGACCCCCACATTCTTGTATGTATGTTGCACTTCCTTCGCACCGTACTTAGACAACTGTGATAATCGGAGGTGGGAGGGGAAAGACAACAAACTAAACACAATAAGCAGTTCTAAAGAAATGAGTTTGTCCATCTAGATGATGATAATTTAAAAGTGCGTAGCTCCCAGTGGCTTCCGAATATCGTAAGGAAGAGCGTTCCAGACGGCCGCAGGAGCGCATCTGAAAGTGGCACGCGATGCGGTGACCACCGTCTTTGTTTCGACGGCGCGACAAAAGCCGCCGCTGCTAGGATGAGCGAAGTTTGTGTGATGGTGGTTTGTAGGTCCTTGACGAGATGAGCGAGGAATTGTGGTTCCTTTAATCCTCCACACCTGTGCAACAGATGTCAGAGGAGGGGATCGAACCCTCGACCCTCCCGTATACCAGGCGAGGTAGTTCACATCTCCGAGTCGCCTTTGTTGAGATATCACTCGCCGCTGATGGTAGCCGTAGCCAAGAATCCCATCAACTTTTTTTCTTTTAATTCCCTGGAATTTAGATAAAGTACAGAAACAGATGTAATGTTTTCTGTGCCGTCACTGGTGATGAGGCTGAGCCCATCAATTCACTGTGTAACGTTCTTGAAGGAAACTTCTTAGAGGCCACACGCTTTTATTCACCAATACTTGCTACACCTAACACAAGGGGTATACGGTCCCCTTACCCGTTATCCTGAGGAGCTACAGACTCCGGACTTGCCGGCTATCTCCCCCGCTAGCCTAGCGTCCTCCGGCTGGGACCTAGGGGAGGCACACTGATCCGCCGCTGGCCCAACAGGTCCCCGCTCTGGTCGCTCGAGACCTTCGCCCTGACAAGGGCGGGAAGGCTGGGAGCCAGGGCCCTATCCAGGACCTATCTCCCCTGACCACTGGTGACTCTGAGCCCCAGCCCTGACAAGGGCTGGAAGGCTTGGTCCAGGGTCCTAGCTGTCTTCAGCCGACTTGGGTCTTCGTGTAGCAGAACTAACCAAGAACTCTCAGCAGCTTCGGCTTTTATACCTGTTCGTGGCCGGGTTAACCAATCCCCGGCCACCTCTTGGACCCCTCCGATTGGTCCTTCCCAATCTGGCGTTTGGATCCTACCTCACCCCATTTGACCCTAACGGTTTGATTGAGCGGGAAAACCTTGTTTACCAACTGCTCTCTCACAGCTTGCGAACAGCGAGTAGTTATCACCACTACAACTGCACTTGAGAATGCAGTTTAATTACAACCCAGTCTCTATACGAGTGTACGGGTCTCTGTGTGAGTCTATGGGTCTCTATATGAATCTATGGGTCTCTACGCGAGTCCTGGGTCTCCATGTGAGTCTATGGGTCCCTGTGTTAGTCTATCAGTCTCTCTGAGCCTATGGGTATCGGTGTGGTGAGTCTATGGGTTTACGTGTGGTCTGTGGGTCTCCTCTATATGAATCTGTGGGTCTCTATGTCAGACGTTGGTGGCCGGGCTGAGACCCATCGAGCGCACCACGCTTGTAGAACCCGGATTGGAACCCAGCGTGGCCGGCCTCGTGTGCTCGCAGCGCCTGTGACCCCTCTCCAGTCGCCGTGACATTTGTTTAAACCGCGGCGCACGAAGCCAACTGTTTACACGCCGGGTGAACGTGGGCACGGGCGCAGGGAAGGTTTCCAAAAAACTCTGCGTGGGAAGCGGCATTTGTAGAACGAGCGCGGAGAGAGAGAGAGGAGGGGGTGGTGGGAGTGCTGCGTAACGCCCCGGTCCACTTGGCCACGCGTCGCTGTGCTGGACGGGATCCCGGCCCGGCCCACGCCGCTTCGCCGAGCCGGCGCTGCTGCCCCTACTTGGGTGGGGGGGGGGTCACTGCCTCCTCCTTCCTGCCGCTCCCCTCTGCGTCCACTCGGCTCCACTCCACCTCCTGCACATCCTCCTACCCCTCATCCTCATCCTCCTCAACCACCACCTCATCCACCACCTCAACCACCACCTCATCCACCAACTCATCCACCAACTCATCCACCAACTCATCCACCAACTCATCCACCAACTCATCCACCAACTCATCCACCAACTCATCCACCACCTCATCCACCAACTCAACCACCACCTCAACCACCACCTCATCCACCAACTCAACCACCAACTCATCCACCAACTCATCCACCAACTCATCCACCACCTCATCCACCAACTCAACCACCAACTCAACCACCACCTCAACCACCACCTCATCCACCAACTCAACCACCAACTCATCCTCCACCTCATCCACCAACTCATCCTCCACCTCATCCACCAACTCATCCTTCTCATCATCCTCCTGCTCCACCTCATCCATCTGCTCATCATTCTCATCATCCTCTACCTCCACCACTTCCCCATGTCTGCTCTACCTTCCGGCTGCTTCCTCTTCTCTCACTCATCTTCCGGGCCTATCAGCTCCATAACTCATGGAGTTACACAGAGACTCATAGACTACTAGCACAGAGACACGTGGTGTTGGTGGTTAGGGTGGTGTTGGTGGTGTTGGTAGTGTTGGTGGTTAGGGTGGTGTTGGTAGTGTTGGTGGTGTTGGTAGTGTTGGTGGTGGTGGTGGTGGCGGTGGTGGTGTCGGTGGTGGTGCCGCCATCTCCCATCCCACCCTGGGGTGCAGTCTCCATCCCCTCATTCCCTCGCCCCGTGCCTCTCGCCCATCACGTGCTCGTGATGAAGGCCCAACTTGTTGTTGTTGTTATTGTTGTAGTTCACAACAAATTAGAGTATTTCTTCGTGAATGCTGTGATGATGGTATGTGGCATTGTGTGTGTGGCACCGTGATAATGATGATGATGTGTGTGTGCCATTGTGTGTGTGGTGATCTGTGATGACTGTGTGTGTGTGGCACTGTCAAATGAGGTGTGTGTGTGTGGCGCCGCATGTGTGTGTGTGTGTGGCGCCGCGTGTGTGTGGTGCTGTGAAGACGACGATGTTCTGCGTGCGTCGTGGTCGGGTATCCGAGTCGTCGCTAACCGAGTCGTCGCTAACGCTGCGTTCAATTTTTCGTTCTCCCCCCCCCGACCCTTCCTTCAGCTTCTAACGGAATCCTGCGGTGGACACGGCCACCGTGTACCCATGGTAGGGCCCACTCCGTGTGCCACTCACAGCTAACTCCGTGTGCCACTCCAGCGCCCCTCTGTGCCACTAACAGCTAACTGCGTGTGCCACTCCAGCGCCCCTCTGTGCCACTCACTGCTAACTCCGTGTGTCACTCCAGCGCCCCTCTGTGCCACTCACAGCTCACTCCGTGTGCCACTCACAGCTCACTCCGTGTGTCACTCCAGCGGCCCTCTGTGCCACTCACAGCTCACTCCGTGTGCCACTCACAGCTCACTCCGTGTGCCACTCCAGCGGCCCTCTGTGCCACTCACAGCTCACTCCGTGTGCCACTCACAGCTCACTCCGTGTGTCACTCCAGCGGCCCTCTGTGCCACTCAGAGCTAACTCCGTGTGCCACTCACAGCTCACTCCGTGTGTCACTCCAGCGGCCCTCTGTGCCACTCACAGCTCACTCCGTGTGCCACTCACAGCTCACTCCGTGTGCCACTCCAGCGGCCCTCTGTGCCACTCACAGCTCACTCCGTGTGCCACTCACAGCTCACTCCGTGTGTCACTCCAGCGGCCCTCTGTGCCACTTACAGCTCACTCCGTGTGCCACTCACAGCTCACTCCGTGTGTCACTCCAGCGGCCCTCTGTGCCACTCACAGCTCACTCCGTGTGCCACTCACAGCTCACTCCGTTTGTCACTCCAGCGGCCCTCTGTGCCTCTCACTGCTAACTCCGTGTGCCACTCACAGCTCACTCCGTGTGTCACTCCAGCGGCCCTCTGTGCCACTCACAGCTCACTCCGTGTGCCACTCACAGCTGACTCCGTGTGCCACTCCAGCGGCCCTCTGTGCCACTCACAGCTAACTCCGTGTGCCACTCACAGCTCACTCCGTGTGCCACTCCAACGCCCCTCTGTGCCACTCACAGCTCACTCCGTGTGCCACTCACAGCTCACTCCGTGTGCCACTCCAGCGCCCCTCTGTGCCACTCACAGCTCACTCCGTGTGCCACTCACAGCTCACTCCGTGTGCCACTCCAACGCCCCTCTGTGCCACTCACAGCTCACTCCGTGTGCCGCTCACAGCTCACTCCGTGTGCCACTCCAACGCCCCTCTGTGCCACTCACAGCTAACTCCGTGTGCCACTCACAGCTCACTCCGTGTGCCACTCCAACGCCCCTCTGTGCCACTCACAGCTCACTCCGTGTGCAACTCCAGCGGCCCTCTGTGCCACTCACAGCTAACTCCGTGTGCCACTCCAACGGCGTCTCTGTGCCACTCCAACGTTGTCTCTGTGTCACTCACAACTGAGTCTGTGTGTTATACACAACTGAGTCTGTGTGTTATACACAACCTGCTGCCTCTGTGTCACTCAGAACATCTCTGTGTGTCACGCAAAACTGATCATCTTGTTTGTCACAAAGAAAAGGCTGTGTGTGTGTCACTCAAATCTTTCCCGCTGTGAACCGTGCCTCTGTGTGTCACACAACAGGCCGTCTGTCTGTGTGTGTCAGAGACCAACTTTTATGCGTCTTGACGTGCGCCTGCGTGCGTGTGCGTGTCACCGCCGTGTGTCACTCGGAGAAGAGTGTGTGCCACGTCAGAGTCCTGTGGGCTCGTCAAATGGGGGCGTTTTTTCCCAGCGTGCCAGCGCTTACACCCGGCACCCTGCACGGACGATCATCGTCACCAAACCAACAGCCGCTCAATACAAACTAAACTCCATAATGCGGCTTTTGTTGGGTGAGATCGCGTAAATATATAAATGTGTCGTTAAACCCTCCACCACCCGACACGGCCAACTAGTAAGGGTTGTCACGTAAACAGAACGTGGCCAATTCGTCGCTAGTACAGCACTTGTGTGTAGTAGTGTATAGTGAAGTGTACAGTGTAGTGTATAGTGTAGTGTATAGTGTAGTGTGTAGTGTATAGTAGTGTAGTGTATAGTGTAGTGTAGTATATAGTAGTGTAGTGTATAGTAGTGTAGTGTATAGTAGTGTAGTGTCAAGTGGTGTAGTGTATAGTGTAGTATACTAGTACAGCACTTGTGTGTAGTAGTGTATAGTGTAGTGTATAGTGTAGTGTATCGTGTAGTGTATAGTGTAGTGTGTAGTGTATAGTAGTGTAGTGTATAGTGTAGTGTATAGTAGTGTAGTGTATAGTAGTGTAGTGTAAAGTGGTGTAGTGTATAGTGTAGTGTACTAGTACAGCACTAGTGTATGGTGTAGTGTATAGTGTAGTATACTAGTACAGCACTAACCGGTTGTGTGTCGGAGAGCCAAGCCACAACATTTACAATCAGAGCGCCGTGACATTTCGCCAGTAATCACAACCAGCTTCATCAGGCGACCGCCAGAGTTGTGGGGAAGTCCTCCACCTGCTTCAACAGACACCAGGAGGAGGCACCGCAAACGAGGAGTGGGAAAGCAGCAACAGCCACACGATGAGACCACGCGACCAACAATATCCCCCCAATCTCTGCTGTCCTCTGCGTAGCGAGATAGTTTCCAGGGCGGTTTATAAGTGCGGGAGGAGAAGTGAGCGCCTGGAGAAAACCCTCCGGGTGCGAGCGAGGAGGCCACCACACTCCATCCCGGGGAGAGGGAACCGATGGAGATGAGCCCTCGCTCCGCCGCTGTGTGCCGCCTGCTCCAGGCAGAGCCACCCAGGGTGAGGGAAGGGAGTTCCGCAGCCCATCCGCGAGCGATCCGCCAACCCCGCGCTGCCACTCACGCCGCCCCCACGGCGCCGCTGGAGTGCTGCAGGCTGCA